GAAATTCTATATATGTTTTTGTTATACTAATAATTAAATATAAGAAATAATTCCAAAATCACTAATGATAGATATTTGGCAATACTCGAAATAGCTCTATGGTCAGCCAAAAATACAATTAATAAAAATAATATAAAATTAGTTTTTGTTGTTGTAGTTTACTACTGTTCGAAACCTCTCTTACAGTTTCTTTTAAAATAGTCACTACTATTATATTGACGTTAGAATCATAATTTAACTATAAGATTATATTACTATATTATAAGATATTTTTAAAAATTAGTTTTATATACTATAAAAATATCGATTAATAATAAACATTATAATATGTTTAAATTATTTTAATTAAATTGTTTTGGTACTCATTTTTCGTTTGTATGGTGTAATTCGAAAATATTTCTTTCATAAGACTTTTCTCCAAAATATTCTGATTGTTATTAAATCAACTGTAGATTGTGCTAAAATTTGTATTACGTTTTAGTTCTAATATTAAAATTTAGGTAGTTATCTAGCTACATAGTTTTGTGAGATATATAATACTCTTAGTGGATTGTTTTACGACCTCGTATATAAATTACCTAAACATATCTGCGTACAAGTTCTTACGGCTAAGAATAGAACATAATAAAGAAAATCACAGTTCAAAGCAGATAAGCAAGAAATATCTCTAAGAAACATAAATGGAAAAACAGGATCAATAAGGATTTTATGGACTTACTTAAATCAAAACTGCATTTTATTTTTATTTTACTTACTACTCGTAGCTACAAATAATAACAAAGAATCCTTTATTCTCTTTAACGAGTTTTTAGTTACTAAATTCTTACTGATAAATCTATATACAAATGTATAAATATATGTATATATTTATATGGATATATATATCTCTATATAAATATATGTACATAAACATGTTGGGTATCCTTACAGTATTTATAAGGATACTAGGAAGTAAAGAAGTAGAAGAAGAAAATCTTAAATTTTGGATTTTCTTTTCACATTATATTTTAGTACACGATTTTATGGTTGTGTGGCGGTGATCACATATTATAATACCCGTACTTGTGTATGTATTAGTGTTTGCCTTTAAGCGCATATCCTTTTGTGCATTCTCGAAAAAGTATCTATGCATGTGTGCAAGGCACTTTTATACTATCAGTTAGGTATCTGAGTATCTGAGTAGATTTGCTTTTGTGCATAGGTATTTACTGACATAATTATGCGATCCGATCGTTGTTGGTGGTTGCTGTTTTGTAGCAACCCTCATATTATTATTTATTTTATATTTTTCTGCGTCTTTAACCTTGTCTACGAGATCGTCGTATACATACATGAGTGCAGGATATTGTCGTTATCGTTAAATTGCACCAACAGTTCCACGGTGAAAGTCGACGAGTTAAGTCGGTTGTGTTGCAAGGAATGCTCGCTCAGTAACTGATATCAGATGTTGTTTTTAACTATTTAGAGAAGTTAGAAGAAACAAAAATAAATATTATTTAAACAGTACAAATTCTATTTGGAAAGACACTTCAACTTTATAGTAATTCAATTGGATTAATTTAAATTAAAATAAAACTGTGCAAAAGTATTTAATGTAACAACAAATAAAAAAAATATCAACCAAAGATTTTTATAAATATATATATATACATATATATATTATTAATTACCAAAGATAATTAAACCCTGTAGAATACAACAATATAGAGTGTGCAATATTTTCAACATTTTCACTGCCTTGCTGCTGCTACCACTGCAAAACTTTACGTATATATATTTGTATATATACGTATTTATATAGAAATATATATTTATATGTCTAAAATTACATACCAATACCGGTGTATGTACTCTAATTTTAATAAACAAAAACTCAGGAATTACTGCGGGTGGTCATTTATACATAAAAATTTAAAAATAAACAAGAGTTTCTAGACTTAATTCTTAAAAGCTTTTAAAAAAATAATTTGAATTGTTAAAAAAAAACATTTTTTTTGGATTTAATTTATTTAAAAAAATTTGCAATTTTTAAACAAATGGATTTTAATTATAACATATAAATAACAATAAAAAACAATTAATTGAAAATAAGTTTATAATTAAAATATTAAAATAATATATATAATTTTAAATAACAACGACAAAATAACTATAAAATATAAAAGAAAATTATTTGCAAAAACTTAATATATACATATTAAAAATATTAAGAATTAAATATATAAATATATTTAAATTATACTGCAAAAGAAAAAATATTAAAATAAAAACAAAAATTATATTAATAAAAATAATTAATTAAATTATTGTGTAAAGTTTAATAATAATTAAATTATTAAAACTGTGAACTAAAAAAAGATTACAAAATTTAAAAAAAAATAAAATAAAACTAATATGTACAAATTTATACATAAATTACAAAAACAAAAAACATCAAACAATAATTTTTAAACAATCAACAAAAAAAAAATTCACTTGAATTTAAACCAATATTAAAAAAAAATTAATTGATTCATTTATTTAAATTAAAATTGTTATAAGTGTTCTTACTTTCGGTTCGACCAAAAATCAATGCACTACAAAAAATTTAATAAATTTTGATATATACAACGTCAACATATAAATATACATTATTGGATTATTATTATTATAATATAATTATAAAAAATTTCATTTAGAATTAAATGATATTATGAAGTGTCAACGAAAAAGAAAAGTTTTTGAAATGGTAATAATAAAATCAATTATATTTTAATATAAAATAAAATAAAATTTTGATATAAAAATATAAGTCTAATATATTTATATATGTTAAGCTTACTTTAATAATATATCAACGGTTAGATATGATATACTTAATTCTGTTAATAAGAGTACTTATCGTTCAATTGAATTTGTATGTCTACTTAGGTCTATTTCAATATGTATTCAGAATAAGTAAAAATGTCCTCATACAATATATAGTACATATACATCTTCTTAATAGAATATAATATATAATATAATATGTAGTTCATTCTGCAACACTGAACTGATTGATGGTAATCATATCTTTCTTATAAAACAATGTAAACTTTCCAACTATATTAATCAGATTTTTCTTTCTTTGACTTGCACTGTCTCCCTCCTTTTCTTTCTCATTCTCTATCTCACTCTTCCTAACTCATATGAATCCTAGTTTCAGTTTCTAATCAATTTTTACAGTATTCCTTTAATGATTTTCTATACTTTAAAGGCTATTAAATCAGGTAGTAGGAAACTTTTGCAATCCATTGATTAATATCTATTGAAATTTATTTCATTTCAAATTTTTAAGATATTCAGGATGCAGTATTATGTTGAATATACTAGCACCAATAAAACTTCTGGATATGATATAAGTTTTTATTGGAAAAAACCTTTCAAATGAATATTACTTCTATTATTAAAATACTGACTACAGAGACCTATTAGTTTTTGGAAGAAGAAGGATATATTAAAAATTTAAAAATACTAATGCCCATTTATGAAATCATGATAGGTGCTCTCGTCCATAAAAAAACTTGATAACTTTTTTCGACTGTATTTCTGTTACCTTTGCGCTTAATCCTGCACAAGAAATAAACATCTATCAATAGATCCTAAAAAAAAAATCCTTGCCTAATATTGCAAGGTTAGGAATGACGTGTTTTTTTGGGGATAGTAATATTAATAAAGTATTTATATTAATACTTTTATTATTGTTTATTCAGAATTTTATACAATATATAATGTATCATCTTATCCATTAATTTTTCATTACTTATTATTTTAAGTGGATTGTTAATCAATATTCCAAACACAGGATATTTGGTCAATATTTGTTTTTTTTTTTTTTTGAGTTTACTTCATAAAAAGTATTTCTTCTATATGAATTTGTGTTTCATATTAGGTCTGTTCCACGAGCTACTCATAGTAAAACATGAGTAAAACAGAAGTAAAATTTACACAAAAATACTTGAAAATTTGCTGGTGGAACGCGCTTGTGTATACATAGTGTTTACTCAAAGTTACTATGAGTAGCTCGTTGAACAGACCTATTAATAAATAAATTAAAATAATTATTTTTTTATAATTGATAAAATAGATATATATTTATGATTTGATAAATATTAATATATTTTAATCTATCTATTATATATATTGTATTTGTATAATAAATTGATCCATTTATAGTATGTTAAGAATTTATTAATATATAATTTTTTAAATTTTTATTTATTTATAATGTGTTAAATAATTATTCATTTATTAATAATCTATTAAATAATTATTTTTTTAGATTTGTATAATAAATTTATATACTCATAATTTCTTAAATATTTATTCATTTATACTTTGCTAAAGACTTATTCATTTATAATGTATTAATTAATTATTCTTTTATTTATAATTTATTGATTAATTATTTATTTAGCTTTATTCATTTATATTTTGTTAAATATTTTTTTACTTATTATATATTAAATACTTATTTATTTTTAATTTAGTATCATATATAAGCAATAAACAATAAATATATATATATATATATAATATAAACAATAAATATATATATATATATAATATAAACAATAAATATATAGAAAAAATAATATATCTGGGTAACAATTAAGATTATGCTTGCGTTGCCAACCTTTTTCTTTTTGAAATGAAACTTATCTATTGTGAATTGAAGTTTTTCAACACTTTGTATTTTTTGAATTTTGTCTGTTAAATTTCGGTTTGGCTGTCACTTTTCTTAAGTTAAATTATTGTGAACAGTCTTAATTTATAATTTACAAAAACAAAATCAAAAGCTTATTGCTGAACAGATTTTTTGAGAATTAATTAATTTTGCCATTATGGCAAAATTGTTTACTCAATCACTAGAGGTACTAGCAGCTGGAGTTGTGTTTTTTTATTATATAAATTAATAAATTTCTGAAATAATTTATTTTATAAAATGTGTGTTTAAATTTGAAATTTATTTTTCATTAAAGGATGCAGAACCCGGCTTTGAACAGCCATCAGCAAAACGTCCACAAACGGCAAATGCAGGGTCAAATGTGTATCATTCAATTTTTTACCAAAGTGACTCAAGTTCTTCAGTTTATTCATCACCAGTTGATGCTGCCGATCGTGTGCCTTCAGTCTTAGATTGTTTTAGTGACATTCCAGATAGTCCACACAGTATAGTGTCTCCTAGTCTAACAACTTTGTCGGAAAAGGCGAAAACAACGCATGCTGTTGCATCAACATTTGTTGTTAGCGCTAATAATGGTGTCCAAAGTGAGCCACATCACGGTGAGCGTACACCAGCGCCGCCAGTACGTTATAACAGTGAAGACACCGTCTCGAGTGTAGTGCATGAAACTGCTGAAACGGCTAATAAATTTAATGCATATGTCACAGAGCCTTATAATAATTGCATGACACCTGCAGCTGACAGCGAACCGATGAGGCCTTGTCCCTTGCCGGCTTTGTCATGGGCAAATGCGAATGATGTTTGGCAATTCATTTGTAGGAAGGATGAAGAAGATGCACTCTTACGTAGTAGCACCATGTTCGAACAGCATCCTGGTTTGCAACCGCGCATGCGTGCTATTCTACTTAATTGGTTGATTGAAGTGTGTGAGGTTTATAAACTACACCGTGAGACATATTACTTAGCTGTGGATTATTTGGATCGTTATATGCATAAACAGAAGCGGGTCCAAAAAACCTTTTTGCAACTGATAGGTATTACTTGCCTGTTTGTGGCTGCTAAAGTTGAAGAAATCTACCCGCCAAAAATAAATGAATTCGCCTATGTGACTGATGGTGCATGCCAAGAAGATGATATACTCAAGCAGGAAGTCATGCTATTGCAAGCACTCGATTGGGATATTAATCCTGTGACACCAATTAGCTGGTTGGGAATTTATTTACAATTGAATTTGAATAATCGTACGCCCGATTCATTTGTGGTTTCTGGCACGATGGCAGATAATAATAATAGCAGCAACAGCACAGACCCAAGTTGGATGAATAAGCAGACTAAATCCACAACAGTTAAAGAAAATACTGATAACTGCAATAAATGTATAGATTCTAAGTCAACAGTCGGTGATAGTTCTGTGGATAACGCATTTTTATATCCACAATTTTCTGGTTGGGCATTTGCACAGACTGCGCAACTACTCGATTTATGTTCTCAAGATGTAGGAATGGCTGATTATAGTTATGCAGTGTTAGCTGCTGCTGCTATGAGTCACACCTTCGATAAGTAAGTGCATCTTTTTTATTATTAAATAAGAATACTTTCTTATTCTATATAAACGCATATTTTTTTTTTACTTTCTAGAGCCACTGCAGTACGTTGTTCCGGTTTTACTTGGCCAACTCTTGAAGCTTGCGCACTTTGGATGGCACCATTTTTTGAAATAATTCGTGAGGAATCTCCTTATTTCCATCTAATCGAACAAAATGAACTACTAGCAACAAAACATGGTTTAGGACACATTTGTCCAAATATAATTACTGATGATTCATATATTATACAAACTCACACCACAACAATTGAGATGTTTGTAAGTATAAAATATATTCGTACTGATAGTTCTTTTAAGCAGATATTGGTGGAATCAGTAGCACTGCCTGGTTAAGAGAGCTATGAGTTTATAATAACGTACTTAGCTTAAGTTAGGTTAGATTGTACCGGTGATCTAAAGCGATTTAATTAGGGCTATTGACTCATCAGAGATTCGAAACCACCTTGAACCTTTGGCAAAGCTTAAAATGTTATTAAATTGGAGGTCTTGTAGTTGACCAAGATCCTCAAAAAAAAGCACTCTAGGAAAATAAAGTGGCACCGCACAGATTATTGGCACCTTCATCGTCCTCTCCACAACTGCTATGGGAATAAGTGTATTATTTAACTATTTTACAATTGTGTATCGTCTCATCTAAAATTGCCAAATAATATTAAATACAATTTTGTCAATTTTGACAAAAATTCAGTAAAAAAAATTAGCCATTATGACATTTAAAATATACAATATATATTATTCATTTGATGACCCTGTATAATGAATCTTGTAATTAAATTTTCCAATTATTTACAGGATCGTGTATGTGCGCTGCAGGAGCAATATGCTGCATTAGTTAATAAGCAAAAACATTTACAGTCACCAGCTACCTCATTAAATTGTCCAGCGGGTTTGCTAACACCACCGAGTTCCAGTCGAAAACCACAAGAAGCTGACAATGGCAATGATGATGATGAAGATGACGATGATATCGATGATGATGAAAGTGTTGCCAGTGAAAGCTTAAATCGTACAGTGGTTTCTGCAACGAACTTAGCAACTCAAAGTATAAAAATCGCAACTGTGACAACAACAATTGATGATGTGAACGATGGCGATGATGAGACTGATTACATTGAAGTTAAGAACTATGATCACAATATTGATGGCAATCATCTAACATTTAAAGCTAAGCATAAAGCTGAAAATGAATCTGCTACTAGCAAATGTAAGAAGAAGTACACATAAACTGCCATGACATCCATTTAGAAAGATAATCCAAAAGCCAATTCTACGTCTCCGCACTGAGTAAGTTTTTTTCTTTTTTAATAACTCGGAATTAAATATAAAAAAGAAAAAAATATATACTAGCATAAAAGAGGAAATTAAATTAATTAAAATACTTAATAGAAACACGTTTAAATATTATATATTGAAAAATAAAAAAATAAAAAAATTAAAAAATTACAAAATTTAAAAAATAAAAAATTTAAAAACTAAAAAAATTAAAAAAATTAAAAAATTAAGAATACATAAATTAATTATTTTCATATATGCATGTATAGAGTTTTTAATATTTTATTAATAACTAAAATATTTAGGTTTTTTAGATTTATTTTTTTTAATTATATTTAATTGAAAATTATTTATATAAATATATTATATTTTAAATTTTAAATAACTTTTTTAAGTACATTTAAATAAATTTAATACAATTTAATTCAATTTAAAAAGCGCTTTATTATATTTAAGTGCTTATAATTTTTGTAAATTCATTTAGTAAAATCGTTAAATTGCATTTCATTGCAATGCGTGGCTCTCAAAAAAGGAGGGTTCTTATTTTTAATATCGCTATTTAAAGAGTATATTATTTCTTTAAATTACTTAATTCACTTGTAAATTGATTCCATAAGTTATTTGTACATATAGTTTTAAAAATAGATATATATATATATATATATATATATATATTAAAATTTAGAGTGATAGAAAAAAAAACTTTTATTATCGGCTTGAAAATTAAATACATAAAATACGTCGTCGATATAAGCAAATTTTATTTAATAATTGAATTTTATCTATAAATATAAATACAGACACAAGAATAAATATATTTAAATATTTTTTTTTTTTTTGTAAATATAATTATAAGCCGCTTATTAACGTTCTGTCATTTAGCGCCTAATAATACAAGAATTTTTGATATTTTAAAAAATTTGAATATGCTACTTAAAAATAACGCTCAGAAAATTGTTCGGCCCAGCCCTTTTTATATTATTAATTTTTATTTCTACATACATATATATATATATAAGCATGCCTCTGAAAGTATGTTATGTTTATAAGCGAGTTATTTTTTATATACATAGAAAAAATTAAAAATAAAACAAAACAAACATTTCAAAATTAAATTTTTTTTTTACTATATAATAATATAAAATTATTTTATTTTATTTATTTATTTTTGTTTGTTAATATGCTCTTCTTAAAAAGGATGCGGTCCAATATATTTGGAAAATTTCTAATTTTTTAAACATTTTGTCTTTTATAATTTTAAAGCCAATTTGAGAATAAAATGCTTTTTATCATAAATCTATTATCTAGTGATTTAAATATTATTCGAACTGTTTGAAGTATCGAGCATTTTATTGCTTGAGTGTGCTTCGAGCCCCTCGAACATGTTCGAACACCGACCATATGAGTCTTGAGCATTTGCTGTTATGCGTATTTGTTTAAATAAAATAAAAATTAAATATAACATAAAATAGATTTACTAAGTATATTTTCGAGCAGTATGCGATCTGTAGCGCTTGCTATTCAACAAGATCTTGCGTGGTAGTGTACCCACAGATCCAAATGTTCGAGTTGGCGTATACTCGAGTATGCTTGAAAACCTCCAGTGTCAACACTGGTTAGACTTAAGCCAATTATGTTTTGATTGTAAACAATATTTGACAATAATACTGTAGCCGTCGCAGACGTCGACCAAGTCTGAGGCTTGATCCATTCTACTGTTTTCTAAAAAGATTTCTAGAATTATGAAAAATATTTTGATTGTTTTATAGTCATGGTTTTTAAATTTTTAGGATCAGTATAAGAAAAAAAACTGGGGTTTGCATATTACAATAACCATTTATTCTTTTCCTTATAAAAAATATTATCTATTATTTTGATATTCATTATAGTTATTTACTTACTATAATTCTTATAACATTTATAGTTGTGAAAAGAGGTCTAGTTTGCTTGAATTAATTTTTTTTGTTGTTATTTTGAAAATACCCAATTTTTATAAATATTTTTTATTATAGCCAATTCTATATAATATTATATTAATATGTAGTCATATATATATTTTTTTCCAATATATGTTTTATATATACGTTATTGATATTATGTTAGATAAAATAAAATAATTTTTATTTTAATTTTTATATATTTTTAGTTGATTATTATAGTGTATAATTTCTAATTTAAGTATAACTATATCTATATCAGTGACGACGCGTGCCCTATCTGGAAGGGTGTGCGGCCCTTCTATAATGTTGTTTTTACATGTACCACTTATATTAAAATATATGAGATGTTTTATTAATAATAACTATATTATGTTAGGCAACAATATATTCGTAATATTATATTAACAATTCATTAACAAAATAACATATTAAACAAATTAAATTAATAATTTATATATAAATTTAATATTATATCAAAAACAAAACTTTTCATATACTTGTAACATCAAACCAACTTTTTTCAAACAAAAGAGTTTTAACTCAGAACCATACATGTTTATCCAGTGATCAAACAAAATCAAACTCACTTGCAACGTACAAATGTGCGCACATGTACTCCGCACAGTAAGAACAGAAATTCGTGGGTGCTACTGTTAAAAGGGGAGAGACGAAATGTGATAGAAATGTATGGTGAGATGAGCTGCAAACTTCAGCCGCTCATGCAATCACTTTGGCAAATCATCATGTTGGATTCGTATGCATGCAGTTGATATTCGAATACAACAAAAATTTACTCTCATACAATTCCCACTATATAAATCTCTATTTCTGTTATTACGAACGGGAGCACACGCACATTATTTTGTTAATATGCAAAATATGAATGTGCAGCCAACTTCTTTGCACACAAAGGGGAGAGACGAAATAAAATAAAAATGTTCTGTGATTTGAGCTGCAAATACATGAGCACAACTAACAAGTATAGCAGCTAACAGAAGCAAATTGATTGAGTTTTCATAGACAATTATATTTAATTGTTTTTGCTAAAACTTTAAAAATATATATATATATGGAAATGTAATAAATAATAATAATTCTTGATGTGAAGATACTTAATAAATTTATGTACCTATGTTATTTAACATTTTGCAAATTATGTTAGGGTGTTCACCGCACACCTCCGCACCTTAGAGCAGTCGTCACTGATCTATATATACATAAATCTTTGTAATAATATACATGCTATTTTGACAAAATATAAATATCGTAAAATATAAAATAATATTTTCGTAATATACAATATATTCTTTTTAACATCTGCTTCTGAAAAAAAAATGTGAACAGTTTTTATTTTAACTTTTTTTTTATTAATATATAAAAGAAATTTTTTTTTTTAATTTAATTACTTTCTATATTATATTCACTAAGAGAATTTTTATTTTAATTTTTTATAATAGAGTTTATTTTGACATCTTATTTGGGTTTAAAATAAAATTATAATTTAATTGATTTTTATATTCTATATATATTTTTATAATTTTTTCTATATATTCATCAGAGCTATATTTTTTTTATAAAGCTTTGAAGTATTTTTAAAATTTATTTTTTAATTTCTTTAATATATGTATTTCATATTTTTCATATTATATTTATATTTTATATTTTATTTATATTTTATATTTTATTTAATAATATTTTATATATTAAGACATATACATATATTCAGATATTAAATTTATTAAATTTCAAATAATTGTTTATGTTTCTGCATATTTTGATTAAATACTAAAAAACACTAACCAAAAGTCTTTATAATACTAGGTTTTTTGTTTATCTATTCTTTTTTGCAACTAATACACTAAAATAGTTTATAAGTTAGGAACTAATACATTAACATATTATCAATCAGGGACTGCAATGATAAAGACTAATACACTAATGCAGTTAATCAAATATGCAGTTTATTATATATTATTATTATTATTTCATTATTATTATTATTTTATTATTATTATTATTTTATTATTATTATTATTATTTTATTATTATTATTATTTTATTATTATTATTATTTTATTATTATTATTATTTTGTTATTATTATTATTTTATTATTATTATTATTTTATTATTATTATTAATTTATTATTATTATTATTTTATTATTATTTTATTATTATTATTATTTTATTATTATTATTATTTTGTTATTATTATTATTATTAAATTAAATTAAATTAAATTTAGATACTTTTATATTGTTTTATTTATTTTTCTTTTAATTTTTATTAAAATATATTAAATTTAAAAATATGTATTTATTTATAAGAACAGGCTAATTGTTAGGTATTATTTTTATTATTTTAATGAATTATAAGACATAATAGCAATAAATGTTTATAATTTATTACACATTAAAATATGTCTAAGTAGAAAAGAATTTATACAATAAAAAAAAAAATATTGACAATAAGCCTATTCTTAGAAATAAATATTATATATTTTTATATTTTTTTTATAAACTATTTTCATACTGGTGAATTTTTTATTATAATTATTATTTCCTTTTAAAAAAATTATATATTATTTTTAGTGAATATTTGAGTTAATGTTTATTTTCTATATAAAATTATTATTATTTTTATAAAACTATAAATAATTATTTATTTTTTTTCTTATAGTAGTCAATTTATTGTTCAATATTCTATATTCTTTAATTATTATAGTTTTTTTAAATTTATATTTATATAATTCAATTATATTTAATTAATCTTTAATAATTTAATTATCTTTATCTTTAATTATTGATTGATATTATTGTTGATATTATAAGATATAATAACATATAATATCATAAAATATAAATTTTTATTACATTTTTAATAATCCGTTGTCACAAAAAAAAATTTCTTTTTGTCACACACTTATATTTTTGTAATCTTATTTATTAAAATATTATAATAATAAATTTAAGAACTATTATAATTTAATATTCCAAAAAAAAATTTTTTTATACTACTTATACTTTTCTTAATTCTATATAA